GATGTAATGTATGAGAGAAGAATGAATAAATAAAATAAAGTAAAAGAAAAAATGAAGGAAAGTCACAGGAAGCAGTAACAAGAAGTCTACATACTAAGTTCTATTTTATTTTTGAGAGCTGATTGCTGGTCTGTTTCTTCCCATGTGCGCCTCTCTGCATTTCCATAAACTCTCCATGGAGATACCACTCTGCCCCACCCATCTTTGCTGGTAAGGGAATGGCTTCAGAGAAACAACCAGCTTCCTTAAAACAAAGAGCTGTGCTGCTACAGCTGGGGCCACTCTGTACCCCAAAGCACATATCTCCTTCAGGCTGGTGCCTTTTTTCCCCTTTAGTTCCTACAGAGTTTCCAGTATTCAAACACTGACTTAGATAAACTAGTGTGAATATGGATTATTAGTTTTTTAGTCACATTTTCAAATTGACACAGACGCTGCATTTGAATATTAGAGATGGAGAGTATTTTGTTGCTTTGTGGTAGTTTATACTCTTTTGGCTTTTTGAGACAGGATTTCTCTGTGTAGTCGTGAAACTCACTCTGTAGACCAGGCTGGCCTTGAACTCACAGATTCCTGCCTGCCTCTGCCTCCTGAGAGCTGGGGTTAAGGGCGTGCGCCACTGCCACCTAGTCTTACTCTTTTATTCTAAATATTTACTTTTCTTTTTAATTATGTGCATATGTCTGTGCTTGTTTGAGGGTTTGTGGTCTTGTGAATGCAGGTGCCCAAGGGGTCCAGAGACATTGGCCCCGTGGAGCTGGAGGTACAGGTGGTTGTGTACCATCCAATGTGGATGTTGTGTTCACTTCGAGAGCAGATCATGCTCTTGACCCTGAGCCGTCTCTGCAACCCATACTAACCTTGAAAACCACTACGCTTTAGTTAACGTTTTTGGGTGTGTGTGAGAGAGAGCATGAGCGGAGGTCAGAGGACAGCTTGCAGGCATCTGTTCTTTCCTCCACTACGTGCATCCTAGGCATTAAACTTACATCATCAGCCGTGGCGGCAAACAACTTTACCCGTAGATCCATCTTGCCACCCTCTAGTTGTATCTATTCTTTGGGAATATCATATATTTATGCAACATGTTTGGGGGGAAATGGGGGCAGAAGCAGTGGATGAGTCCAAGGACACACTGTCTTCCAGACACATTGCACATGGGACAGTTGCACGAGTGAAATCGGGACAGCATGCCTAAGAGCTGTGTAAGCTCAAGCTGGGCAAATTCCCAACAAGAAGAGGAGAGTTGGGCCTGAAGTCTCATCCCTAGGAGAGGATCTGTTGGCAACTGGTCGCTTCTGAGAAAGGAGGATTCAGTTTTTGCTAAGAGTGTAGGTCCTCGTAGTAGACCGTGCTCCAGCAGAAGGCCACATGTACAAAAATGCATGGGTAAAACAAATTAGATTTAATTGGTATAAATACAGAGGAGAGTAAAAGGGACATAAAAATTGGTGAGTAGGAATGTCAGGGTAGATATGGGAGGTGTTGAGAGAGGGGTGAATATGATTAGAACATTTTCTGAAATTCTCAAGGGACTAATACAAATTTTAAAAATAAAAATAGACTTTAGATATGAATAGAATTCTCAAAAGAAGAAGTAGAAATGGCCACAAAATATTTTTTAAAAATGTTCAACATCCTTAGTGATCAGGGAGATGTAAACTAAACTACTTTGAGGTTTCATCTTACCCCAAGCAGAATGGTTAAGACTTTAAAAAATGAATTTTACAACAAATGCTGTCAAGGCAACGAGGAAAGGGAAACCACTTATTTGTTTTAGCAAATGTGTAAAGAAGCGCAGGTATTCTGGAAATCAATGGGGAAGGTTCCTCAAAAGGAGTCAAATAGATCTATCATAAGACACAGCCATACTTTTTACAAGGATTCTACATCCTACTCAGAGGTATCTGCTCATCCAAACTCATTGATGCTCTATTCACAATAGCCAAGTAAAGGTTTTGAGACAGATCCTCTTGCATGCATCTTTTTTTGTGCCTACACAGTCTGTTTGATGACCCAGGAGTACTTACATTTCCTTATATTACTTGCTGTAAGAGTACCTCCAAAGGGCCACAACAGTACCCTGAATCAAAGAGCTAGACCATGTAAAAACTGATTCAACTGAAAATGCATGTGTGAGCTTGTGCTGTCTTTCAACAGTTCCTCTGTGTCGTAAGGGGATAGTTTGATGAATATGAAAGAATCCAGTCCATACAGGGGTTAGGGCCATGGTGCTTTCCTAGAGCATTTCATGCCTCAATGTTCTATTTTTCTTTTCAGTAAGGATACCAGAAGCTAAATAGACGGCTCAGAGGTTAAGAGCACTTACTGCTCTTGCAGAGGACCTGAGTTCAGTTCCTAGCACCCATGCCAGGCAGCTCACAAACATGTATGACTCAAGCTCCAAGTGACATGGCACCCTCTTCTGGCCTCTGCAAGTGATGAACATGCGCTTACCCCATGCCTAGTCACAGACACAGCGATGGACAGACAGACAGACAGACACACACACACACACTCACACAAGAAATAAATTTTATAGTTAAAAACGTAGAGATATCCATCTGTATCTTGAATTGCATTTCTTCTATTGAAGAGGGAATGTAATATGGAGAGCACTTGGACTCTTTGTTATATAAACTGTATCTGTTCTAAACAAAATTGAGACTTTCTCTCACGAGAAAGCAGAAGTCTTTAATGGCCATTTCACTCCATTGGCATTTAAGAAACCGGGTCATCAGCTGAAATTTTTGGGTATCTCAGTTTTGCACTTTGAGATACCTAACTGGTTGCAGTGGTTAGTTTTAAAGAGACATGAATGTTTGAAAGGGAATTATAGGGAGAAGAGGGTTAATAGCGGTAGGAGAGACATTAGAGAGGGTAGCAATGTTACACTAGTCAGAATCCACCTTAAACTTGCAAAACTTGTCAAAGAGCAAACTCAGCAAAAAAAAAATAGGAAGCCAAGGATGTACACAAAAATGCAAAGCGTCAGGAGCTTCTTGCATAACACATACAGCTGCACTTTTTTTCTAAAAGCACTGGGAGAACTATGACTCTAGGAACGATGGTCAATATACTTAATATTGCTTGTCTATTCTGGCATATAGGAGTGCTCAGTAATTCCCTAGAATGAGCTGAATCCATACAAGAGTAACCAGCCCTCTTTGAAATGGTATAACACTATGGTTAACATTCTTGAAGTCAGACAGAATGTCTCTCCCACCCTAACTGGAAACCACTTAGATGGACCATGTAGCGTTACTAATATTTCACTTCTAGATGCAGTTATTGTTACCACCTCTTCATCAGTTCCTCTGATGCTTAAATTTGTTGATGTCTCCAAAAACAGTCAATATCCATGTGCCAGAGGTGTTCATGGAGGCTTCTTGCCTTCATGCCCAGAACAACGCGGGAGCAACTCACCTGGTGGCTGAAGATAGCAGGTACGGTCGATCCTTCCTCACAGGTCTGATCAAGAGGCTCTGATACTCAGCTGCTGCCCAGAGCAGATGCCAAGAAACAGGAGAAAAGCCCTTCCGTGAGCCTTGGGAGGAGCTGCTCGTGGTCCTGAAACAGACCCTCCTCCAGTTCTTTTTTGTGGCTCCGGAGTCTCTGAAGTGCTGCCTGCACTAAAATGAGGAGGCAGGGTGCAGTCTCAGAAGCTCTGGGCCTCAGAGACGCCCCTGGCCCCCGATGGTTTGTAGGAGTGGCAGGAAAGGAAACATTTGGCTGATACTTGTTAAGCCATTTAAGTAGAAAGGCAAGCAGACAGCTCTCAATTAGAGCCAGTTCTTTCTAAAAATGTATGTGTATGCCACAGCTAAACTGACCTGAGCTCCTGGAATCCAGCTGTGGATAGAGAGGACTGATGAGCAAAGGGGTCAAGACCAGCCTGGAGAAACCTACAGAAACAGATGACCTGAACAAGGGGCTCATGGACCCCAGACTGATAGCTGGGAAACCAGCGTAGGACTGATCCAGACTCCCTGAATGTGGATGTCAGTGAGGAGGCCTAGGTAATCTATGGGGAGTCTGGTAGTAGATCAGTTTTTATTTATAGCACACAAATGGGCTTTGGAAGCCCATTCCACATAGAGGGGTACTCTCTCAGTCTAGACACATGGGGGAGGGCCTAAGCCCTGCTCCAATTGATGTGACAGACTTTGAAGATCCCCATGGAAGATCCCCTAGGGAACAGAAAGGGGATGGGATAGGGGGTTACTGGAGGTCAGGGGAGGAGGGAGGGAGAGGGAACTGGGATTGACATGTAAAGCAAGCTTGTTTCTAATTTAAATTAAAAAATAAAATAGAAAAAAATTATATGTATGTGTGGTATCTGTATGGGGATATGTGTACGTGGGTGTAGATGCCTGCAGTGGCCACAAGAGGCACTAGAGCTGGAGTTACAGGCAGTTGAGAATTACATAACATAGGTATTGGGAACTGAAGTTGGACTCTCTACATAAGTAGTTTGTCTTCTCAATTTCTGAGCAATCTCTCCAGACCCATATGGGCAGGTTTCTTATGCAATGTAAATACTCTGCTTGGAGTATGAAGTATGTAAGGGTGCAAAACCAAAACCAAAACCAAACCAAAACAAACGCACAACTGCTCCAGCCTTCAGTTGATTGATACTTAGAATAGAGAAGCATGCCAACAAGGAATATACAACCCATTAATATACGGGTACATAATCTGTTTAAAGAAACACAGTTGGTGCTGAAGACACAAGAAAGAATGTAACAATTCAGCCAGGCTATGGTGTTGGCATGCTTTAATCCCAGCACCTGGGAGGCAGAGGCAGGCAGATCGGTGTGAGGCCGAGGCCAGCCTGGTCTACAGAGAAAGTTCCAGGACAGCCAGAGCTGTCACAAAGAGAAACTCTGTCCCCGACCCCCATAAAAAGAACATAACAATTCAGACAAAGGAGTAAGTCTGAAGTATGTCCACCACAAATGTAACTGTGTGTGCACAATTGATACAGGCCAACAAATACAAAAGGCATGAAATTGAAATTTATTGGAAAGAAGAAAGAGACCAGCGTGGGGTGGAAGGAAGATAAACGATGGTCATGACAGGTGAAGTACATTATATCCATGCAAGAAAATGCCGTAATGAAGCCATTTTGTACTGTTAATATATGCTAACACAGTTTTAAAAACTTTCAGTAAAAACGTATCAGTCTTCCAGGAATAAAATGATGGGATGCTCAAGCTACATTCTTTAGGTTATGATTTAAGAAGTGGGTCATCGGTCACTAATGCATAATATTTGTTTTGTGTTGGGCATTGATGATTTCTCCTTAGCCATTTCAGATTTAGTTATTGCTTGATGTGTATTACATATCGAATGGAAAAGATGTTTTATTCTATTTTTCTTTGGGGTTTAAGGTTTATGGAGTTTTGGGAGCCAAGAAATAATTATAGTTCTTTTTTCAAAGGTGTTGGGGATCAAATACAGAGTCTTGCATGCTATGATAGAGGTCTACCACTGAGATACATCCCCAGACCTCAAGGAATGTTTGGTCCAGGGAGAGAGGGGTCCAGATTTGGAAAACCATGGTCAAGCCCAGTGAAAAGTCTTTTGTAGCACAGTGTGGACCTCCTTATTTCTCAGACAGTAGATGACAGGGTTGCAGAGAGGTGTGGCCACCGTGTAGATCACAGACAGCACCTTGTTGAGGTCCATGGACTTGATGCGGCTGGGGCGGCAGTAGATGAAGAGAGCAGCTGAGTAGAAGATGCCCACCACTACCAGGTGGGAGGCGCAGGTGGAGAAGGCCTTGCGTCTGGCAGCAGCTGATGGCATTCGGAGTACGGCCGTCCCAATGGCTGAATAGGAGGCCAAGGACACAAGGAGTGTCCCGCAGAAGATGATGATGGCCGAGATGAAGTCAACCAGCTCTGTGAGGGCCACGTGGGTGCAGGACAAGTTCAGAAGAGGAGAGACATCACAGAAAAATTGGTTGAGGACATTGGGACCACAGTATGACAGGCTGGCGATGCATGTTGTTTTGGCTACTGAGACTACCAGCCCACCAAGCCATGAAGACAAGGCTAAGCCCAGGCAGACCTGGGGCCTCATGAGCAGTGGGTAGTGCAGTGGGCGGCAGATGGCCACATAGCGGTCATAGGCCATGGAGGCCAGGAGGGTGCACTCTGTGCAGATGAGGACTATAAAGAAGAAGAGTTGGGTCATGCAGAGCGTAAAGGAAATGTGGTAGGGCCCTGTCCACAGCCCCACGAGTAAGGTGGGCATGGTGACTGACACATAGCAGATCTCTAGGCAGCTGAGGTTGCACAGGAAGAAGTACATGGGTTTGTGGAGCTCGCTGTGGGTGCAGATGAGGTAGATGATGAGTGTGTTCTCCAGGAGCGTCAGCAGGTAAAGAGTCAGGAAGACAGCAAATAGAGCATCCTTTATGTCTAGCCTAGTGGACAATCCCAGCAAGATGAACTGCTGAACCCTGGTCATGTTGGCCAGCTCCAGGGGCCTCTCCATCTGCAGAGAGACAAACCAATTGTTAACATGTATTCTTTATCGTAGAAGTAATTAGAAACATGTTCTTGGTGATTTGAGCCTTTAGTGACTTAATGATGCGGGAAGTCCTTCTGTGTATATGTTGTTTTATTGGTTGATAAATAAAGCACTGTTGACCAATAAGGAAGCAAGATAGGTGGGACTAGGAGTCGAGGAGGATTCTGGGAAATGTAGTCAAGAGTAGAGGATGTGGTCCCAGGAGGAAAGGGCACAAGTCTGGTGTTCTCTGTAAGATAAGACCTTGTGAAAATACATATTAGTAATTATGGGTTAATAATTAGATCAGAGCTAGCCATTAAGAAACCATAGCAAATGGCCAATAGCTTCATAATTAGTCTAGTGTCTCGTGTGTTATTTGGGGGCTGAGACAGTGACAGGACCCAGGCAGCTGAAGGGAAGGAATGCACGGTACAGACAATCATATCAATATTTCTTGGGGACTGGATAAGAGAAGGATTCTTCACATTCTTGAGATGAATGCTGCATCTGATGACTCCAAAGCACAGAAAGAACGTGACCATCTGTCTGAACATTCAGAGGATAAATGTTGCTCTCAGTGAGATTAAGTAAGGGAAAAGACTGACATTTGCTATGCTACATGATTATAATTATTTTCATTTCAGTTTTTTAGAAGTATTATTCCCCAGTTGTCTCCCCTACACACCAGTTTAGGATAAGATAAAATCTAGGGGAAATAAACTGCTATCTGTGATATCCAAAAACCGGGTTTAATCTACAGCCATACTACTCTGAATGGGCCTGATCCTGTCTGAAACAGAGTCCCTTTTTTCTTAAAGTGATTTTATTGTTACGGAACTGCATTATGCTGTAGGTGATTAGACCCACAGCTAAGAAGTTTTGTTCAGAATAATATAGTTAAAATTCTAAGAAAGTTGGTACTCATTTAACAGAAGTTTAGAGATTCCATTGTTTAGGCCCAATCAGTGTGATCAAATATACAACATTACTCATAATTTGTACAACATTGCATCTGGTTAAAGGGTGGAGATTCTGTTGGCTGCACCCAATGTAGATGATCATACTTCCTTATCATTCACACACTGCTGTTTGGGGGAGAAGCTGGGAGATACACAGGGAATGATGGATGCAATCTAGGTATGCATCCTGATCACAAAAACCTCTAAGATTTATTGAGCTTTTACTTCATATCAGAAACATGTCATGAAGACATGGCTATTCAGCACTATTAAGTTCTGGTATGACTCAGCCATTCTTTATTTTTTTGAGGATTTATTTTTATTTTATCTGCATGACTATGTATGTCTATGCATTGCACGCATGCAGTGTCGTCGGAGGCCACAGAAGGCATCAAATCCCCCTGTAACTGGAGTTACAGATGGTTATGAGCTGCCATGAGGGTGTTGGGACTTGAACCTAAGTCCTCTGGAAGAGCAACCAGTGCTTTTAACTGCTGAGCCATGTTTCTAGCACCACGGATTTAGTCTTAAATGACGTAGTTATAGTCTTTGCCTCTGTCCCACAGGATAAGTGTGGGGACACAGGGAGGTACATCACAGCCCAAAGTGACCCAGTCAGGAAGCTATTGTAGCTCATCCTAACTCCATATCTACGTCACTTCAATAGGATGACATTACCTGTCCTGAAAGCCAGGACCAGAACAGGCTCTAACATCCAAGACTACAGATCCAGAAAGTTATACAATTTGGGAGTCTTTCTTGCTTTAGAGTATCCTGCAAAGATTCTACGTGGTGGAATTAAGCTCCTGCAATGAGTTAGGAACCCTAGCATTCTTCAGTCTTCTTCTTGTTCTTGTTCTTGTTCTTCTTCTTGTTCTTCCTCCTCCTCCTCCTCCTCCTCCTCTTCTTCCTCCTCCTCCTCCTCCTCCTCCTCTTCCTCCTCCTCCTCCTCCTCCTCCTTCTCCTCATTCTCATGCTCCTCAATCTTCTTCCTTCTCGTCTCCTCCTCCCCTTCTCCCACCTCCTACTCTTTTTCTTTTTCTTTTCCTTCTCTTTCTCCTCCCCTCCCCTCATTTCCCCTATCTCTATTTCATTTCTCTTAAATATGGGGATTTTCTTTTATATCTTGTTAGTATAAGCAAACACATTTAATAAACAATTCAAGGTTCAAACATTGCTCTCACCTATTAGGAGTTGACTTCTTACAGGACACAGAGCCAATGAAAAGATATTACAGAGCTTATTATGAAACATATTATCTTGATGTTGAAGGCTACTCCTTCATAAATGGCTAGTAGTCTAATGCAGGAGGAGAGAGGGCCCTCATCTACCATGGAAAAATATTGGGAAGAGCATTTTAACAAAGCAGCAGCAACAAGAATAGCTTGACTATGAGGGAAACTGCCTCACAAGAGCCTGCTTCATCATCCAACAGATTCTCTCCACTTTAGAATTTTTAGCTTCTCATCTGGTTTCTTCTTCAGTGAAACATCCCTGAATTCCTTCAAATATTTTATTTTTAAAAACTGCATTTATTTACTTGTACACACATGCTTGTGAATATGCATCATGGTTCATGTGGGAAAAGCCAGAGAACAACTGTCATGGCAAGACTCAGTTCTGTCCTGCCATGTGGATCCTGGGAATGTAACTCCCAGGCTATCAGATCTGGAGGTACACAACCAACTTGACTCCCTGAGCTATCCCACCAGTCTACTTTAAGCATTTCTCAAGGGCAAAGCATTCACACTTCTCCCAGAATGATCACCATCATGTGACCCCACCGTAGGAAAATGGAACAAATTCAAGTCATCATTCTCTCCCAGACCAACTGAAGCCAATGTCAAATTCCCACCTCCATATTTGGTCCCGAAAGTCATTGACAGTCCTTGGTCCATTTTTTTCTACATGTGAAGATAAACTAGTTCACTTTCTTCCCTCCTCTCCCCTTCTCTCCTCTCCCCTCCTCTCCTCTCCTCTTCTGCATTCTCTTCCCTTCCTCCCTATCCCTGTTTCTGTAGATATCTCAGCCAGTCTGTCCCTCTGAACTCTTTTATTTCTCCTTCCCCTTCCTTTACTTCTCTTAAGTATATAGACATTTTAATCTATGCCTTGCTATGATAAGCAAATATATTTACTAAATAATCAACTCATTATTTTTCTCATCCTTTGCACTCAGTTGGGCACTTACCAAGCCAGCTTCTTAGAAGTATGGTTTCTGTCAACATCCTCACAAATAGGCACACGTGTCTTGGTAAACACCAGATACATTCAATACCTCGCTATTTTCACCAATGATTTATTCTCAGGCAGATCCTATATCTTCAGAGAGCTGATATTTTTTTAGTAGAATCTAGATAGCTCCTTGTGTGGGTCACAGAGTCCCAGTTCCTTACCAGAAATTGTTCCAATCTCCAAGTCCATCACAGAGATCACAGAGCAAACTCAACTTGTTTTCCAACCTCCACATGTGCCTGGTACAATAACTGCATCTTATGAGACAAAGAGAGTTAAAAATCCCAGCAAGGAGGAGGGAGGGGCTTCCAATATTTCACCCCTAGCTTAGGACCTAAAGGCAGCTGATGGGAACAGAGGGAGGAAGGCCACTTTTCTTTCATGAGTGTGTGGATTTCTGTTGTTAGATCACCCATGTCCGGGTTGATGACTGCACACAGAACATATGGGCAGCACTAATTGAACTTAGTTGGCTACAAAATAAAAAGGTAGGATGATGATTGGGACAGAAGTGGGAGGAGTTATGGGGAGACAGTGAGCTGGAAGGAAGGAAAGGGGGGTGGATATCACCCAGATCTGTTAGCTCCTTAAAACCTCTATAGAACTACAATTGCTGGGATGGGGTTATGACTTCCGGTGGTGGAGTGCTTGCCTGGTGTGCATATGTCCCTCAGCATCACATAAAAAAAATAAAAGATGATTTCTTATTTGATGGTTAAGCATTAAGCTCTGATATTAGTAACTTGGCCCAAAATACAGAGAGGATGTCTAGAGCTAAGGTGCACTGGTAAGTCACAAGTCCCCTCTTCCCCATGCTTGGTCTCTGTTCCTTCTGTTTAGTTTCTAGGTTCCTTTCCAAATATTTAATAGTTTGGCATGAACAGATATTTATTACAGACACCATGAAGCTGAGATTCATAGTGACATTGGTCCTCAATTTCAGAGATACTCTATAGCACCTGAGCTTTGGTAGACATTAGTTGGATGTAAGTCCAGTCACAGACCCGTAAGGCTGTAAAATCAGACACAGAGCTAGATTCAGCTATGTCCCATACACATTTTTCCAAGCAATGGGGATATCATGAATTATCCTTAAGAATTTATTGGAAGGAAAATTGAAGCATAGCTACATCAATGACAGCTATAAAATGACACCAATGTACCTTGTAAAATGATGCCTATTATTGGTTCCTGTCAAGAATGCCTTAATGCTAAGAGGTAACTCTAGACCATGGAGCTGCCTGTGAGTTTCTTGAGCTTGGGTTTGGCTTCTATGTGGGCTGTTTATTATAATCTTAAACAGAAGCCTTACCAATTAGTCATCAACAAGACACGTTTTTAAAATTCAAGATGGAGCTGTCACCAATCTGGTGGAACCCTTTGTTCTCTTCTGAGAAGTCTGTCCTCCTTCTGAAGCTCTTCCTCCATTTCCGGCCTTCCATTGGTCTCTCTTTGCCTACCCAAATCAGCTTCTTCACAAATTCTTTTCTGTGCTCCCACCCATAACTGATTGCTTCAAATGCAAATGAGATACCCTTAGAAGTGCATTTGGAAAAATTCATTCCTCTGAAGCCCAGAGATAGAATATTTAGAGAATACCCTGCCTCAAAAGTGTTTACTAGCCCTTGAACTAAGTCAATAGCTGCTGTAGAAAATGGACAATGTAAAGCTGGGTGGTGGTGGCACACACCTTTATTCCCAGCACTCAGGAGGCAGAGGCAGGCAGATCTCTGTGAGTTTGATTCCAGCCTGGTCTACAAGAGCTAGTTCCAGGACAGCCTCCAAAGC